ATCATGGGTTAGAGTCCCTTTGCCTTCGGGCTAACCGTGGGAGGTTCTCGTGGTCTTCCTCTCCATTTAACGCAAATGCTGGTTAGTTCCATCAAAAAGTCCTCCACGAAAGCAAATTTCTCCCAATACCTGATCCAGGAGTTCCCTTGTCTTCTGAATTGGGATCATAATTACAAGGCTACGGAGTTGAACGTTAGTTGTCGTAAACCCAAAATTTGGGTCGTCTGTTCAACGACGGTAGAAAGATAAAAAGTAAAATATTTTACAAGCTGTATAATATTAAAAACCATCGCTGTCACTGTACTGGGGGGGGCAAATATTTAGGGTACAAGAGTGATAAGGTACTTTCAATCCCAGAAGAGGGATGATCCAAATAGTCCGCTTCATTAGTTATTGATGCTCCAACCAACCCAAATCCCATTTTTCAAAAGTGTCCCATTATCCAAACCCTCGGGGGAAAAATATGTTATTCCATGTTTGTTCAACCTGAACTTACTTCTGTTTGTTTATCCGAAAAATTCCCGGGTTTTGTAGAGAAAATAGATGAATTGAGTTTTCCCGATTTTCGTATGCTTTAAAGTAAAATTGCCAAATATTTTGTTGAAGAACTATGCGTTTCGGATTGAAAAATGCTTTAAAAATGCAGCAGAATGTGAAAATTACTTTGCATAAAAAATATTGTAATTTTTATTTAAATAAGCTACAATGTAAAAATTGAATATTCCAATTTAACGAAAATGTCTTCATTTTTGGCGAAACCTTTTCTTGCGAAACTATTCGAGCGAAAATTTTCATAAAATTGACGAAATGACTCTCTTCATTCGTTTGATGATGTAAATTTCATCAGGAACCTTAATCATAATGCAACGCATTTTCTAAGACAATTGATTAAAAAAAAACATAAAATAAACATGCGTTAAGAGATAGGTCGATGCTTTATTTTCATCGCACTACAGCTTCACAATGAGCTATTGGCGACTGTTTCAGGAAAAATCCTAAGGGTGATCCGAAGACATGCCATCAAGATTTTGTAAAGCTATTTCCTGAATTTAGACACAGATTTGAAGGGGAAAGAAGTTTTCTCTAGATTCATGTAACCATGGTACTTCTCTACGACCGACCACATGACTTTCGATTCTACAGAATTTACGAGCACATGTATCTCGATGAGTTTTAGCGGAGTCGAGGATCGAACCCCGGCCCCCTCCGGACCGGAGTCCTTAACCATTGGGCTACCATGATCCCATATGTTTAGAAATACAACCTAAATTAGCTAGCTGGTACTCAACTATCACCAGTAATTTTTTTGTGGTAAACTTGCTTAACTAGAAATCATGCTAGAGCATGTATGGTCCCGTCTTACACGGCAAGCGATTTTAGGAACTGAATAGAAAAGAAAATGTTAGGGAATTGTAACATGACGTCATTTGACACCCTACATCACTGTTTTTTAAGGTTCAGTACCACTGCCCGGTATGCCCTACATCAATGTTTATTTAAGGTCAAGTGCCACTGCCCAGTATGCATTTAAGCGGTACTCTGAACACTGATGTTTCTCCTAATCTATCCTCAGCAGATATTAAAATATCGAATAAATATAATAATATCGACGAATAAGTTAATATCAAATCGGATATAACAAATATTTCGGACATTCACCAAAGCGGCTATGTTATTGTTGACATTCATCGGTGAAAGTGGACATTCTATTGATTTCGGTTATTCAAGGTAACGTATCCATTACCAAAACTAATTAAGCATCCTTGGCTTCAATAACACTATGCCAAATTTGTGCGATTCTGATATACCTTATCATACACTTAATATACCCAAATAAAAATTTTTGATGGTTTTCCATTGATGGACCAACAAAATCTTGATGGTAACCATCAATAATTCCATCAGGAACCACTATGTTTTGTTATGGTAACCAACATAAGTAACCATCACCCCAATGTAGGAATTCGGACTGATTTTTGATGATCCAACATAAGAATATTAACTGGTTTTGATGGTTTCTTCATGTTAAACCATCTGAAATTTTCCATCATAGTTTCTTAGAAATCAAATGTTCATCATCATCCCAATGAAGGAATTAGGACTGATTTATGATGGTAGTCCAACGTAAGAAAAACCAATTTGTTTTGATGGTATTCTGAGAACCAACGAGAATTTCCATTGAACCATCATGGAAATGTATAGTTTGAACCATCATGGAGCATCACGGATTGTTGGTGCATGAGAATCAAACTTCTTTTAATGGTTAACCATCATAGTATTAAAGCAGCTTTTTCCATAGAATGAAGCTTGTTGGCATATCAAGAACCATGAGCTCATAATGGAAAATGTTGGATGATGGTGACCATCAAATGATGTTGGACCATCATGAATCGCACCTGAACCATCAAAATGCTTTGATGGGACCATCAAGAATTTTGACTTGAGTACTCACATACTTCACCTCATATCTCATATTTTCCATTGACTCAGCTTTTAAATGCAAAACTTGTTATTTTATTTGTACCAATTACCAAAATTAATTAATTTTAATTCTCGAAAATATTTAGTAACAACACAAATATTTTACATTTTCTGATTTAAAAAAGAGTACGTAGTGAAAGGTTGAAGCAGTTCGGAAGAAATTATTCCTTCCACGACAACGCTGAGATTCTATAATTGCCCAAGCTGTGTTATATTGTATTATTTTACTATTTTATCGTCACTATTAAATCCTTTTAAATATTCTACGGATCTAAAATTCTAATTCAACCAGTTTCATTTTTCCATTCCTACTATTAATTCACACTCTCCCTATATCTTGTTCAAATTTTCAATCATTAATAAAATACTTTTTCATTCATTCACTCAAGTTCAATCACATTTTTTTTTAAACTTGTAGTCAATGACACTTGATGTTAATACAGTTTCTTCAAATATTAATTAATTCATTAAATGTAATGAATTAATTTTTATCTTTATATGGAAGAAAAATTTTTAATTAATAGAAAAATTAATTAATAAAAAAAAGTAACTAAAATAAAAGTTCAGTTTGTTGAGCTCAGTAGGAATTGACTTTAAATTTATTTTTTTATCACTTGTTTGAGTGACACATATTTCAACATGCATATTTATTATTGTATAACTCTATTGTAGTTTATTTGAATGACAAATTATTCATCTCACAAATGCACAGGGATTTAAACAGACACGTGTGATGTTGACTTAGATCTCTTAATCGTTACATCGGATTTACCAATCAAGCCCATAAATCCACAATTCTATAGGTTTAAGCCACAGTTGTCAGATTGTGATTAGTAATTTTAATGTGTCCCTGGAGTTCCACATTCGCTACATAATTCAGATCCCAGTCAATGTTGCTACCATTGAGGCTCGTTAGTTAAGTGGCAGAAACTGTTACACTGTATATAGTTTCTGGCTAAATTATTAGACGTACTGTAAGATTCTATGTAAAATCTTAATTATCAGGTGATAACTATACAGCTTTATTGTTTTTATGCGACTGAAACTATTTTACACTTGTATATATTCGTGTATTAATTGGTTAACATTGTAATGCAATACGCTAAAAATAAATAAACATGTTAAGTATATAAAAATTCTCTGGAATAAAAACCCATTACATGTATGTTAAAATATAAAAGTATTGGATATAAACTCGTGCAAAACATGCCATTATTAAAACACTGCAGTGTGTCTAATCATTTGGTCTAATTATTATAATATAATAGCTGATATAATAAATATTCTATATTTATATAATATATCGTCTAATTTATCCAATCGTCGAATTTATATTATATGTCGCCTCATTTCACCAATTGATACATGAATGTAAACAAGTGCAAACCGGTTTCAGCCGAATAAAAACAATAAAGCTGTATAGTATCACTTGGCATTTTATTATATCACCTGATACCTGATATAATAAAAATTCTATGTTTATATAATATATCGTCTAATTTATCCAATCATCGATTTTATATTATATATTGTCTAATTTCACCAATTGATACACGAATGTAAACAAGTGCAAACCGGTTTCAGCCGAATAAAATCAATAAAGCTGTATAGTATCACCTGACATTTTATTATATCACCTGATACCTGATATATTCGTCTAATTTATCCAATCGTCGAATTTTTATTTTTCATAGCCTAATTTAACCGATTGATACACGTACGTAAACAAGTGCAAACAATAAAACTGTATAGTATCACCTGATAATTAAGATTATACATAGAATCTTATAGTGCGTGTAGTAATTTGGCCAACGACTGTAAACCGCGTAGTATTACCCATCCGAATTCGGTGTTAAAACACTCTAAAAGATGTGCGTCATTACCGAATCGTATGTTCATACACTCTTTAAAGTGTGTAGTTAAATTACCAATCAGTGATAAAGCTCACACCAAGCTCACTGAATTCCTGAATTATTTTTTCCCAATCTTGGCGGAAATTTTTCAATTAGCAGACGATCGAAACATATTTTGTTTACAAGAAGGTGAAAGTTTAATTTCGTCTTGCAAGATGTCGATTATTCCACATAGACATTATTATAAAAAGGCATTAGTTGTATAATGAAGATAATTGGGCACTTGCGCTTTAAGAAGAAGACCTTTCATACCCACACATGTGACCTATGACATAAAAGTCAGCTAATCTTTATCAGTAAAATGGCGCCTTAAAGTTGAGCTAAGTTTCTCTACATAAGTTAGAATGTTAAGTAATGATACAGGGTGCGTTCTGAAGGTAATGCGCATGATTTTATTGTGACGCGACTATCAATCGCAGCGCACTCAGATTGGTCTAAAAATGTGGTGGGGGATTTGTCCTTCCAAATACGCCTGGTCTCAGGTCGCTCCGAGTAGTAGGAGCGGTAGGACGTGTCTTTGTGCAAAGTCTTTTTTTCGATCGAGTCACAGCGTGATGGAATGTTCGCTGGAAAGCGCGATAAAGTTTTGTGTCCGGTTAGGGAAGAATGCGACGGAAACTCATCACATGCTTCAAGACGCCTTTTAAGGTGAAATGCATTTCTAGATCTCTGTGTGGAAAGTGGCACAAGGCCTTCAAGGAGGGTCGGGAGAAGGTCACCGACGAGCCTCGTTCTGGACGCCCAACAACAGCCCGAACAGATGAAAACGTCCAGCGTGTGAGTGAAGTTTTGAAAGCAGACCGTCGGTTAAGCATTCAGGCAATCACCAACACCCTGAACTTGTCAAAATGTGTGATACATGGGATTGTGACGGAGGATTTGCAAATGAGAAAGATCTGTGCGAAGCTTGTGCCGAAGGTGTTGACGGAGGAGCAAAAACTACCTGACCCAAAGTAAGACCCTCTTGGTGCCCCAGCCTCCCTATTGCCCTGACTTGGCGCCGTGTGACTTTTTTTTTGTTCCTTCGACTGAAGGGAAGGCACCGGGAGTCGGTGGAGAACATCCAAGCTCATGTTACAAGGTTCCTGAGAGGCATTCCTGTCGAGGAGTTCCTGGGTGCCTTCCAGGAGTGGCACAATCGTCTCCGCAAGTGTACTGATGCACAAGGGAACTATTTTGAAGAATTTTAACCATTTGTACCCATAAAATCAATAAATCTATTTTTACCAGTAGATGCTTTCAGAACTGTAAGTTAATGAAATACAGAGTGTTAGTTGAAATAGAATTATTTCTCGTCTGCTTCTTTTACTTTACTTAGATTTATTATTTGTTTATGTATTCTATTCTATTATTATTATTTGTTTATGTATTTTTGCTTTATGCACCTGGCAACTTCGATGCACAGTTACTTTGTTTATGTGTCTGCCTTCGTGTTAAGTCTCTGTTGAAAGAATTAAAATCTTTGTGAAATAATTTAGAGTGTGGCACTTAAGAGATTTGATAATTGCCGGGCTTGGCTTACTCGAAACAGAGTAGAAAGAACAATTGCCAACGTAAAAATATGCCACGTTTCAACAACCAATCAGGTTCGAGATACACACATTACATCACTTGCAGGTACCCTATTGTCAGACGATCGATACATATTTTGTTTTACAGGAACGTGAAAGTTTATTTTCGCCTATTTTATTCGTATATTCCACAGAAACAGAAGTAAGTTGTTATAAAAAGGCATTTATGTTTTTAGTTGTATAATCAAGATAAGTATGTTCTCGTAAGAAGGTGTACAGTCCGCAAAAAAAAAACGAA